AGACGTCGTTATATCGTATCCGAGGTAGTCCCAGTACAATTTGTGCGTACACGTTGTCAGCTACGTGAGGCGATACCACCCCAAACAACTACATACTGGTGGATATCTTCCTCCTTGGTCAGGTAGTTCCGTTGGCGAATTACGGATGATGTAATGCCCCGGATTATCGGCGTACAAATCGCCTTCCGACTGTAGGTCAAAGAACGACGTGGAAGTCCGCCAACACGATGTTTGGGAACTATAGATATCAGCCCCGCCATAGTCTTGGTTACCTCAGCGCTTACATGTTTGGCTTCGTAAAGGACGAACCAGTCGTCACCACGTGTTGATTCTAGCCGCTCGCCTGTTGCGCCCTCTCGCTTCTTAACGAATATGTTCGATAAATGAACATCTTTGTGACGTATTTCATCCCACTCAAAGCTGCCTGGAACTTCGTCTCCACCTGTACCCAAGATACTGAACGCATCCACAAGTTGATCAAACAAACTCCAAATGAACAACTCAGGGATGACCTCGGGTGGGTTGTCACTGATATCCTTGTCATACCACTGCCCGATACCGGTCATTTTATCGTACTCCGCAAAGCGAGTGTCCATTGCGGGCGTGAAAACGTCGTTGGATTGCGATATCGCGCGGAAGCTTTGTAGGTAGAGGTCTATAGTTAGTAAATACTTCGCAAGCAATGGACTACGCATCTCTCACCTGATCACGCCATTTGATGGGATTGGTCCAATCCCTCAAGTCCGTGTTGTCTACATCCCTGACTGCTATTCGCTGGACCACGGTCAGTCATTTTCTTGTGACCACATCGTTGAGATTACCTCTTGAACGAGTTTGGTATCATCAACTCGTAGCCATAGGCTAATTCGTCCTGTGGATCCTCTCCCCAGAAAGTGTGTACCGTACCATCGTCTGCCGTCAGCTTCCCTACCGGGATCAGACAAGCCGGCTCTCAGCCATTCATCCATGTCACTGTCGTCCTCGATATCAGGGAGAGGATCCTCAAGGGCAGATTCATCCGGCCAAAAGGCGAAGGCTGTTGTGTTGATTTTCACTTTCGTTAGTGGAGGCTCTAGGTCAAGCTCAGCATCAGCAGCAGGCTCAGGCTCGGGCTCGGGCTCGGGCTCGGGCTGAGGCTCAAGTTCGTTATTCGACTCGTCTGGATCTGGTAGGTTGAGCGGCGCATCTGCTCTGGTTTTGGGTGTACAGGTATGGTCGAGTCATCTGTTGCAGGCAAATTCTGGTCGTCGTTTAGGCGTTGATCCGCACTAAGCTGTCTCTCGTCGGCTGATAGGTGCATCCACATCCATGCGAGGGTGCCGGTGATCTGCACTGCTCAGATTGTCAGCATATGAGTTCAGGAACTTCAGCAGTAACTGGTCACGTACCATTATTCCAGGTAGGTCTAACCGCTTTGATCCGCGCTCTATATGCGGCTTTGTAGTAGCCCACCTCATTTTCGAACTTGGGGTCAGATGCAGCCGCTGCAGCCGCTGCTCTTTTTCTCGGAGGCATGGATATTGTTGTGCTTCGTAAGGAGAAGTGGTAAAGTTAGAAAATTGTGATGTACTGCTAATCAGGTTTGACCCTACTGCATACTTGATTGTGGTGTTATTGGCATGCTACATTCCGCGTCTTTGTTGTGATATCGCTTGTTGCCCAAACGTGAACCATCTCGAAAACTTAGCAGTCCGTTTGCGTCTTCTTTGTTTACGCATGTCGAGAGAAAGAATGCGCGTGTTGCGCCTGGCAAAACTACAACGGTGCATCGCTCCTCGACTTTGTTGCTCATTACCTCAGGAGTTCAGGTGTGGAACGAGACGGTGAAGCATGCATACGAAGTGCCTCAATTTACAGCTCTTGTCATAAGACCGACCCACGCGCAAGACGTCTGTTGGTGCAGGTAGGCATGCGCCGTACTTCAGGCTTTACGGCCAGCAACGACGCGTTCCAGACGTGTCAAACATGCTTGATGCCTAAGACGCGCAATTGCTGCACGACAGATCCTGCAGAGCATAGAATAAGACAGTTGTGGAAATCAGAATAACTCCCAATGCACGATACAGCAATGAGTTGTGAGATTGGAGGGCGGGTGGTGTCAGGAGGGTAAGGTCGACGACGATCAGACGCTGCGCACGGTCTGCGCTTTTCGCATACGTCACCATCACCCAGACACCACCAACAGTCAGCTTCAAAGACACTCGACTTTGATCGCATTACTTGTCTGTATCGCATGAACTGGCGACCTCACAGTAGCTTTCCATACTAACAGCCCGACTAACACTCTTCCTCGACATCCTCGAGCAAAATATGCGCGCGATTTCGCTTTTCGCTGTCTCACTGCAGTATTCTAGAACACGAGCCCTCGATCGTTCCTTCATACATTTCCTGGTTGTTCATGATGGCGCAACTGTTCCACCGGCTAATTCAGCGGCTCTGCAAATGACCATATTGGTGGAAACTCGAAGGCATGATGAAACTGGCGATGCTCTTTCATGTTGTGCTTCAGAGTCCGCACGATCGCCCCTGGGATCTAACCGAGGAACGATCTCGAGAACACCATTTTATGCGAAAGCTGTCATTCATGGACAACATCATCAGCTAGCATAGAGCTGGGTAAGCTGTCGGGCGGCTGCGACTTCTGCGCTATGCGGTCGACTGAATTAGTTGCTGTGGCTTTGGTGGTTGCAGCCGCGAGGCGCGCTCGAGGTTCGCGCCTTCGATTCACGGCCGAAACGTGCAGCATCTTCAAAACTTCATGCGCGCGATCGTCAATGTCGTCTCTGACAGTTAACAGGGTCGACATATACCCCTTCCAACATCATGCGCGCACTCTCATTGGTCCGTTGCGTTCATGTTCGCCGCCTTCGACACTTTCGGCCTATCACTAGCGACGGTTCACAGGCTCTGCAAGGGTATCTGAAGAACATTGAAGGAGCGGAGGCGCGTACCTGGGGTCTCTGGAGGATTTTGCAAAGTCTCAGATGCGATGACGGAGCACCCGCCGGTACCGAACACCTGGTTGACAGCGGTACATCCAGATTAGGAACACGACGAAGTTCTAGTATAAGTACTGAGGTGTGCATCTGTTTTGTAATTGCCCAAGCATCTCAAGCTCCATTCATCTTCAGTTCCTCGATCTTTTTCCTCTTTGCCTTACATTCTTTCGAGTCTGGTCACTCTTTCTTCATTCTACATCTTCAATATATTTCGCTATATACCCTTCTTTTACTTTTATCCTCTTTAGTTAACGCGAACCATCAAAATGAAGTCTACAATCATCATCACATCTCTTATCGCGGCTGCATTCAGCGCTCCCACGACCCTCTCAACCCAGCGCCGTCAAGCTGGAGGTAACTTCCAGACCTTTACTGCCGCCCTTGGTGGAATCGCGGCCACTCCTGTCCAAGACTCTGGAAACGCCGACCGCCCGTTCCAAGTCAAGGGTGACACCTTCGTCAATATTGGTGCTGCCCTCACGAGAAGCTGCGATCAGCAGTTCAATGCCTGTGCGAACGCAGCCAACGGTGGCGATGCGACTCTGAGTGTGGGTGCCTGCTCCGCGCAGAAGAGTACGTCTTGCCATCCACATATTTCAGGAATACAGACTAACACGTTGTCTAGCTGACTGTGACGGAAGCGTTGCAGCAAGCACTGCAGCTGCTACGGGTGGTGCTCAAGCTGGTGGCAACGCGAACAACAATGCCGCTGGTAATGCAAACAACAACGCCGCCGGAAATGCAAACAACAACGCCAACGCAAATGCTGGTGCAAATGCTCAGCAAGGCAATAATGCCGGTGGCAATGGCAATGCCAACAATAACAACAACAATGGGCAGCCAGCGGCGTGCAACAAGAAGCACAAGAAGAGGTCGGCCACGAAGCAGTAGATGCTCATCGTAGACACGACGTCTGAGAACCCAACATGGAGCACCTATCGTCTGGATCGGGTAACAGGGTCTGGTTGGGGAGTGCCAAAAATGGTATCGATGGTCAGCATTCATGTATAGCCTTTTAGCATCATCAATACCACGTTCATATTTGCTGTCACTCATCTTTTCTTTCTGATCTTGCTGGTGCATGTGAACTCGCTGTAGAACGATTACGTCGATATACAGACTGAAGCACGTTACTCAGTCTTCCGCTTGCGAGCATTTCCAAGCCTGATGTATCTTAGCGGTATGCGCTGATATGGAAGTAGTTCATATAAGAAGATGAAATTCGCTGAGGTATAGTTTAGGCGAGCAAAGAATATAAGAAGGGCACAGTATACGGTGGGACAATGTGGAGAGTGGTTTTCGAGCGAAAATATGCTGCTACTACTGCTAGGTCTATTCCGGCCCGATCTGATCTCGAGAAGTGAGCATGCAGGCTATCCTATATTCTAGATAACTCTAGTATTGTACATTCTGTCTCAAAGCTACATGCTTGCTGCGAATTGACAATAGGGCACCACCTAGAGTTCAAAAAATGTATCTCTTCACTAGCAGTGCAGTATGAAAGCCCATAAGCTTTGGTGTCCTGGGTCGCAATCGATATCTTTCTTGTTCTCATATTCCTCACGGTCTGTTTGATAATTATGTTGTGTAAGAAACAAAATGCTGCAACATTCACAGCTACCACAACAATGAGCAATTGACCTACAAGATACGTGGGGAGAGCGTAAGGTGTTGATGAAGGGTTTTACATGACGAGAAGGCGTTATAAAGTACGCAATCATAGCTGATAAAAGGTGAAGTGCCCAAGTAATTTTAAACTACAGACTGCGCAACACACATCTCTCAACACTCTACTATCCGGACAAATAGCAACACAGTATCCCCGCCCATAATCACGAAGCCCCTCAAAATGATGTTCCTAATGCCGTCGCCCCCCCAAATGAGCGCGCAACACTCCGCGTTCGCCGAAAAGTTGCATTTTCGCCGCCCCCGATTCTCCACGCCCACAACCACCACCACAACACCTCATGGTGCAAGATGAATGCCAGAACGGCAAAAGAGTGACTCAGCCGAGGATTGAACTCGGGACCTTCAGTGGATGAAGGGGCCTTGCCCTTGTTAGACTGACGTGATAACCAACTACACCACCGAGCCAGTTGCTACTTTGATGGGGTTTTCGAAAATTGGAAAACCTAAAGTGATCACAGAAATTATGGCTTTGCCTACCTCCGTAGCCCGATTACACCATCGTTCTTTTGAGCTGTATAAGCAAGAGCGTGGAGGATGGCGCTACGAGGAGAATTTTTTTCTCGGATGCGGGGCCGTGGAGGGGCATTACATTTGTTCAATCCAACACCACCATCATCTTTGAGATGCAACCTTAGAAGTAATTGTTTGTGTCTGCTATAGAACTCTGAGAATATGTTCGACTGCAAGAATTCAGCACGCGGTCATGAGGTGAACATGGGATCTGTGCCTGAGAACCTTGGAAGTCTGGTAATTGAGCGTACTAACTGGTAGCACCAAGATGCAAAACTTTTACTGCTTCTGCGGATATGAATCGAATTGTTCTTCACGATCCATTCAATGGGCCATTACTCGCCGAGCGACATGCGTTGGTGCGGTGCAGCTGAGACGTTGTTGCAGAGTATTGTGATTCTGGAATACAACTTTGGAAGCATCTCTCCAGGTTGCGAGTATATACAGGTAGCATGTTTCGACGAATGCACCCCATCAGAAACTTTGCCTGCGTTGGGCATTGCTCGAAATATGCGATGTGCCAAAGTAGATCCTGCTACACGCTTCTCGATACAAGTCACTTTCACTTCCAATCTGTGGAACGTCAGGGGCTGCGCGCTTTGAGAGTATCTAGGTCGAAAGGTATGATCTGTGATTTCTCGGCGTGTACACAGTTTCTGCGAAACTTGCATTTCGAACGCCGATTTCGAGATGTTTGACACATTGCACATTGAATGTGAACAACTCAGTATGCTTCGAGGTGCGCGTCACGCTTCAGCGACAGTCGGGAGTCTTGGCTGTCGGGCTTAAGTCTTGTCCCTCCACCAAGCTGCCACCTCCTACCAAGAACCCGTGACATCTTGGGATCTGTTCTCAAGTGGAGTCTGCGGGGAGACAGCTGCGCTGTGGGTCTGCTCCACTTCAACGCAGAACGGTTCTGATGACAGCGCTTGGTACAGCTGGGCGACGAAGTGACGCGAGTTCGAGGAGCCAACATTGATGAGCGCGACCTGGAGAACCAGAGCAACTCAGGCAGTCTAAGGGGGAAAAGATGTGCAAAGGCATAAAGCAAGCTCTTAGCAGGGAAGATATTGAATAGTGAGCGACATTGCAATGCATTGTTGTCGCTAAGGGGTGGTGGAAGGTCATCGGGAACGGACTGATTGAAGATCGGAGGGGGAGCGCCGACAAACGCCGCTTCCCCCTGCCTGCTCTCTCCCACCCACCTTCTCCTATGCAAACACTTATAGCTTCATCAACACAGCATATCTAGTATACGACCCCTTTCTTGCCGCAGCTGAGCGAATCCTCTTGCGATCTGTGATGGCTTGCCGATGCCGCAATGTGATTGCATCGCATATGACTCCATGAGACGGGCCTCAAGCACGCCCGCGTCAGCCTCCCGCAATGGTCCACCTTTCACGACAAGCATCGATCCTTGAGCTTGGGTCGACTTGCAGCATGCAATAAATCTGGGCAAGAATCAGCGACCTCCCCGCGAGCCAAGAATAAGCTTGTCGCACCTCTGTTGGAGTACCAAGGTACTTGTCCGAATGAGGCACGCTAGTGCTGCTTTTCGCCCGAGTGCCTAAAAGCAGATCTCATCTCAAACTCCAAACAGCGTTTCCTAAGCCGCCATCCTGGTAATTATTCGACAAAAGCATCGTGCGGCCCCACTTAGTCTATACGGCAAGCGTCGCGATGAGGCGTCCCTCCCCGAACCTCCATGCGCCGAGGCTGTCACCTTGTAATACCCACCCCCAAGACGAACGCTGTGGAGAAACTTCGCCAAGGGAACGAGTCTCGCTTGTTCACCCATTTCGTACCTGAGGCTCCGTGATTGATGCTTAGCCTGGAGGCTGTCACTCGAACCGACCTGTCTCTGGACCTCCGCACTTAGCGGCTCCGTGGCCATCAGGAACCAGCAATCTTGGATGTTCAAGCATTGACCGCGTTCTGGCTGGCAGACATAATCGTCCTTGGATCGAAGTCTGATAATAGGTGAAGGTTGTGCTGCAACTGCTTTACTCATTTGGGTGTACCCTTCGTAACCCTTCTGTGTGGATTGTCTCTTAGAGATATCTTCAGCTATTTCCTCTTCCCAGGTCACTGTCGTAGGTCTGGGAATTAAGCCTTACTGGTCTGATAACGTGCCTTTACCGCATGGCCCAAGGCATCCGGACTCTTCGTGGCTTGCTCCGCGCAAAGCATCGACCACGTGCCGGATCCAGACCATGGTCACTGCTCCACTCCATTAACCTTGGTTTGTCCCGCACCTGGCAACGTAGACTACGCTTATCTTTCCTTGGCTCCGCGTCACAAAAGTTTCGTACAGGCCTCAGACGGCGGGACATTCTTGGCAACTAAGGAGTAGAGTGCAAAGACCTGCCAGCCTGCCATGCTGTGCTTGAGCGCTCTTGGCATGGCTTCAAAGAAGTTTCAACTTCACTCAAAACAGTGGACCACTCTTGGCAAGTCACGATGCTGGGCGTCCAATATCAGAGGCTTCAGTTTGCATATAAGACCATAATCAGCTCACTTCTTCGATTCTTCAGTCCGGTCACTCACTTCACTTCAACACCTTCTATTAACAGTTTCAGTCCCGGCGACGCATTCTTCCTTCATTAAGATCACGTTTCATTCTTGGAATCTAATTCTCCAATCACACCTCCCATCCAATCCTTCAAACAAAACCCAAAGTTCAACCATCAACTACAGTCAAGATGCTTCCTCAACACGTCCTCCTTGCGCTCGTCGCCACCTGCGCCGCTGTTCCCCTTAACATCAATTTGGGCGCCTACTCACCGGCCCTGGTAGTCGGTGATGGTGAAATCGCGATCGGAGAAGCCAAGTCTGCCTCAGAGCTGATGGCTACACTCGCTTCAGGCTCCAACGCTGCTGCCGCTGAGAACGGTGGTGGTGAAGCTGCGGCACAACAAGGTCAGCAAGAGCAAGGCCAAGGGGCTGGTGAACAAAATCAAGAACAACCAGCTGAGGGTGAAGCAGCCAAACGTGCGCCAAATTTGCTCCGCCGAGCCATTAGCGACTTCCTCAGCAAGCGTGCCCCAGCGCCCGCTGCCGACGATAAGATGGCCGCTGTCGAGGGCGCCATGGAGTGGATCAAGCGTGATCTCCAGGGCTTCGAGGCCGCCCTCAACTACGCCCGCGAGGCACTCAAGGACCAACCCAAGGTTGAGCTTGGTTCGCCCAACGCTGGCATCGGTATCATCGTCAACCCCGGTGTCAACGTTCCCAAGGATTCTGCTGCTGCTGGTGGACCGGCCGCTGAGCACAAGATCAAGCGTCAAGAAGTCGCCGAGGAGACCGAGAGCCCGAAGATGACTCTCGTCGCCATCACCGAGGTCTAAGCGATACCCAGCAAGAGACGGAGCTTTTCTTTTGTCATGACTGTCAAGATATTCAAGGGCGCGTGCGGAGCATCAGGAGTTGCGAAAACTAGATTCTTACTGTATTGTCTGCTGTTCGTGATGTGGCATCCAACACCGCTGCTTTCGACGAGGATACGTGGGAAACCACTGCTTCGCGGAAGACGTGAGGGTAGATGCCCAGGCGTTCAACACCGCTGCTTCGAGGCGAAGACGTGCGGGTAAACGCTGGGATCATCGGTATGGGAGGGTTGAAGAAGTTAGATTCCAATGAACAAATATTTGATCAAACTCTTGTTCCTATCAACATCTTGACCACCCCGTTTCTGACCTTGCTTTTGAAATGAATTTTATGAGTCTTCTTTCAAGGGCTCATGATCTCCTGCTTGCAAACACAAATCTGCATAACGTCCACACCCATCCAAATCCCCCTCGCCGCTATCTCCGCATTACATTGCATCCCCTGTTGTCGGAATGGCAGCCACCAAACCACCAAGCGCAGTAACGACGTCTGCAATAAGCCTCGGCCAAGTCTCAGTGAAGTCTCAGCGACGTCTTGAGCCCCTTGGCGAGGCTTCATGGATGACCGCGGAGGATGAAACGTGGAAACTGCAGAAGCGGGTGGCTCGAGCGCACGTCTGAGCACGGACGAGCATGGAAGTGGCAAACTTCAGAGTTTTGGACACTTCCACCACTCCTTGGCAATTCAGCCAGCGTTTATTTTTATCGTTTCATGCTCGCTCAACATCACCATCGCACTCATGGTTGGGTCGTATATAGATGCGAATTACTTCAGGCTGAGGGTGCGTCTCAAGTAACGGCGCGACGTCACCGGCAGGTGCATGTGGCATCCATGGCCCATGCTGTGCGACAAACAGCGTCTTGCATCCTGCCTCACAGGCCCGAAACTTCATGGCCTGATTGTTTCAGCAAGGCTACCTGAGGCTCATGCAGCCTGACCGTTTGGGAATGTAACCATGCGACTGCAAGTTGCAATTGCAGCGCAATTGCGGTGCTGACGTACTATGTGCAGGCGGACCTCTTTAGCGTGTCTGGTGTTGCCTGTATGGCCTGCATGCTCACATTATGGGATCAGATCGGGCTGGAACAGACCCAGCAGCAGCAGGTGTATGCTGACACAGTAGGATCATATCAGGGTTGGATATTCCCGTCAATTGTATGGGTATGCTTCGTCGGCGAAACAGACGACTACGACAAGCTCAGTCACGATAGCTTTTGTCGCTTCTGTTGGCCGCCGTGGACGTCCAAAGAGTCTTCCACTCAAACTTAAGCACGATCAGTTACCTGGCGGTCTATTTCCAGTACTTTTTCAAGATCTGGTGTGCGGATTGATCAGTTTGCCTGGAGTCTTTGTGCAAAGTTCTACCGCACAAAGAACAATGCAGACGGAGTCCATCGCCAATGTGCTCAATCGCCACCAAACTTAGGCTTCAGTGTCCGAAAAAAGGAACAAGTGTGACCGGATCAAACATCGGGGGCACAACTATGCGAGCGACTGGCGAATAACAA